CCCTCTTCCTCCTGAAAAGTTTGAGATCACTCCCTTCAAGCTATGTGCTGATCTTAAGTAACTTTCCTAATGTTCCTTTTTTAACTCATTTTCACCTGCATGAAAACGCTGGTGGATGAGCACTCAAGGGAATCTATCTCTGTGCTTTATCCTTCAGGGTGTTGACTGACTACCCTGAAAATCCCAGCTCTACCCTTCATCAAAAAATATGCAGCAAATTACAGAAACAGAAAACAGAGCAGTGGTTCCCAGGGGCAGGAGATGGGGGAACGACACGACTACAGAGGGCAGCATAGAGGCATATGGGGGATGTAGAGACTGTTCTGTGTCTTGATTGTGGTAGTGGTTACAGAACGAAAGGCATTTGTCTAGTAGCACCAGTGTCCATTTAACCAGGGGTGAGCATACAGGCCCAAGTACATACAAGAAGATTAACAGTCCTCCACGTGGGTATTAGTGTGATGAATCAAGAAGGCCCAGCACATGACCCAAACACAGGACAGAAATGAGCCCAACCATATTAGCCACCACTACCTTAGGACCTACCCGTTACTCACCCACACACACTCCCTCAAAACATACATCACACTGGTAATTACAGAAAGTTCTGGCCCAATGCTCATTCTAAAATGAGAATTCACTCATACACAACAGGTAGGTAAGGGAGTGCATGCTTACCACAGAGGCTGCATGGGGTCAGAAGTGGGTTTTCTTAGGCAAGGACAGTCGGAACAACAGAAGTAAAAAGACCACCTTCAGCAGAAAAAGAAAAAGGCCTCAGCACTGGCAGCAGAAGCCCTTTGACTGTATTTTATGAAAGTGGAAAACAAGTGCCCGCTCCCTTCTGGCCCAGTCGCAGGTCTCTAGTGGTTTGCCTATGAGCCCTCATAGTTTTAGCACAGTGTGAGGTTCTGTGGGAACACGTTTCTTGCTAGCAAAAACAACCGTGTTTGTTCGCTCACTCTTCCCCACTAGACTATGAGCTCCTTTACAGCAGGGACAGCACCTGTCCTGCTCAGCACTGTATACTCAGAACCTAGTACAAGAGCTGGCAGATAAACAGTATCTTATTGATAGAGAAGACACAAAAATATGACTTTAGTAGAACCAATAAAATCTACCCCAGCAGAAACAGGACTAAAATTCTAGATTAACAGCTTTGTTCTGAGATGAAGGTTACCTGTCCTCAGGCTATACTGCTCCCCTCTCACTAGACCTACTTGAAGTCCAATAATCCCTCTACTGATTTCCCTGATCATGGCAGAGAAGGCAGGAAAGTCCCAATAGACATGCTGAATTCAGAAGGATAATGAAAGGCCAACGAGTCAAGGTTGTGAATTTTACAGTGAAGTGAAGATGTCAATGAAGCTCAGGTCTCAAAGATGGCTGCTGGTTCCATTCCAGGCTCTGCCACTTATATGCTAAGTGACCTTCCACAGGATTCCTTTCTGTACCTCAGTTTCCTGATTTGCAGAATGGAGGTAATCCTAGTGCCCACCTGAAGGGTTGCTGTGAGGATCTAATTAGATAAAGAATAAAGAGTTTTTACTCTTGCACAAGGCCTTGCACATAATAAGCACCCAACAGATGTATTTTGGCATGCTTTACAATAATAATAAGTGTGGGAGGACCAAACTATAACTAGCTGGCTCTCTGGCGTTCCCATTCCACACAGAACCAAGGGAAACAGCTTGAGGTCACATTAGCAGGCCGGAAACCAAGATCAGGAGACTTTGCTGTCCAACACATCAGCCATGGCTGGTTCTGTGCAGAAGAGCAGCAGCTGGCCCAGGAAATGTCTGAAAGCACATGGGTAATGTTTGGGACAATGAAGAAATAGAGAGAAGGAATAAATGGGACAACAATCTTCCTTCTATTCAATGTTTAATAGCAAGTAAGAGGAAAAAATTAAATATAAATTTAAGATAAAGTTTTAGTCATTAAAGAGGAAGGAAGTAAAAATAAATGTTAAATCTAATTAAACCAAGAGCCAAGACATGGAAGCAACCTAAATGTCTATCAATGGATGAATGAATAAAGAAGACGCAGTATGTACCTACAATAAAATACTACTTATCCACAAAAAAAGGAGATCCTTCCATCTGCATCAACATTGATGGACCTTGAGAGCTTTATGCTAAGTGAAATAAGTCAAACAAACACAAATACTATAGGATCTGACTTACATATGGAATCTAAAAAAAACAAACTCATACGTACAAAGAATAGACCGGTGGATACCAAAGGTGGCGGGGTGGAGGGTGGGTAAAATGGGTGAAGGTAATCAAAGGTATAAACTTCTAGTTATAAAGTAAGTCCTGAGGGTGTAAGGTACAGCATAGTGACTATTGTTAACTATAGGACACTGTATCACAGCTGTCCCCAACCTTTTTGGCACAAGGGACTGGTGCTCCTATGAGAATCTAATGCCTGATGATATGAGGTGGAGCTGAGGTGGAGCTGAGATGGGGAGCAGCTGCAAATACAGATGAAGCTTCGCTCACTAGCTAGCTGCTAACCTCCTACTGTGCAGCCTGGTTCCTAACAGGACACAGATTCAGGTCCGCAGCCCAGGAGTTGGCGAACTCTGCTGTATCATATATTTGAAAGTTGCTAGGAGAGTAATTCTTAAAAGTTCTCATCACAAGAAAAAAATTTTAACTATATGAGGTGATGGATGTCAACTGAACTTACTGGGGTAATCATTTCACAATATATGCATATATCAAATCATTATGTTGTAAAACTAAAACTAATAGGGTGTTAGACGTCATTTATAACTCAAGAAAACTAAAGAAAAAAAACTCATTTTTTTCAAAAATCAAATTAAACCACTTTAAGTCTTAAGGTTGCTGACGTGGCCCTGAAAATCCTAAAATAAAAAAAAAGGTATTTAGCAGTTTGTGTTCCAACCTCCCTTCAGCTAAGAGAGGGCTTTCCATATTGGAGATGGAAGTCAAAAATCTCAAAACTAACTAAAAGACAGCAAGCATGTAGAAAACATACTCTGCATTTTGTTCCACTGAAGACCATAAAAGAGGTAAAAGGCCAAAAGAGTAAGTAATGCGCTGCTGCTACCACTGCAGTGCTTCTGAAAGCCCAAAGGAATTGGAAATAAATTTAACTTCAGACTCTTTACATAATTCAAGGAGATTTTTTTTCACCAAAATGATCAGATGTATCACATTCCATGAGCTTAAATTTTGATCCATTATAAAATTACATTGTCTATAAGTACATTGCTTCGGGCACTTCAAATAATTATCTGGATAAAATGCGTATCATTTCAAAAGTAAAAGGTGTTTTAAGGAGCACAAAGCACCTAATAATACACACCACACTCCACTTTAAGGACTTAGATAAATGCTCTTTTGTTTCACTGGAGTATTCTTTAATAACTATCATTGTTCTCCCATTTAGAGAGCCTTCACATATGCTTTTATCATATTCCTTGTGCTTACCCTTTCAAGGGACTTCAGTGCATTCTAAAATACATCTGAAATTACCCAGAAATGGGAGAATTCTATAAACATCAAGCAGAGAAGACAATGCTGGTGGCATTTACTCCTTGGCTCAGCTAAGAAAAAGAATTATTCAGAGGATTTGCCTTAACTACTATATTTGGGGAGAAACATGTTTGCAGCAAAGCCATGTGGACATGGAATAGGAAAAAAAATACTGGAGACAGCCATGACCAGCGTTGTAAACGGAGTTCTAACCCTGAATATTTCCAAAAGAGGCAAACATATTCTGCTCTACCAGGACCCAAGTAAAGAGTAAGATTTGATTTAAGGCAGGAGTGTCCTGATCACATATAATCCATTTATCCCAATGGCAAATGGACATGTTACACAAGAGAATTAAAATAAAAGGAAATGCCCAAAGAGGAGGAATATCACTCTTCCAAACATGAGCTAATCTAAAGAACTAACAATCCTCAATGTGGAGATTTGCTACAGAGCTTCAAAATCAAGCAAAAACTTGTATTTCGGTTGAAAGTTGGTCCAATAAATAAGAGAGCTAGGTTTGTTTAATCCACAGAAAGTTAAAGGAAATAACTACAGAGTTAACTACTAACAACTATGAGATGTCTACAAAATGGTATGATGGCAATAAAAAAGACATTCTACTTAGACATTCTACATTGAAGCGCATTACCAAAGGAGGCTAAATACTCTTTTCTAATAACTGAAAAAAAAAGCAAAACATGATAATATTAAGTGCATTTTAATTCCAGAAACATGAAACGGATTAGAAATGAATGCCCCTCCCTTAAAAAGATTCATAATTTCAGATACATAATTCTCCCACAAACCAGGACCACTATTTCAAGACATTTTCTAGGCTAAATCCTGGTTAGTCAAATTAGGTTGGCATTCTTGACAATAATCACGTATGCAAAGACCTAAACCTACACTGTCCAATACGATAGTTATTAGCCACTTACAACTACTGGGCACCTAAAATGTGGCTGGTCCAAATTGAGATGTGTTCTAAGTATAAACTACACACAAGATTCAGAAAAATTAAGTACAAAAAAAGAATATAAATTATCTCATTAATAACTTTCTATATTACATGGTAAAATCATAATATTTTGGATATATTGGGCTACATAAAATACAGTTTTAAAATTAATTTCACTTTTTTCTTTTTACTTTTTTTAACATGGTTACTAGAAATTTAAAGTGACATGTGGCTCACATTTGTGGCTTGTGTTGTATTCCGTCTGATGGAGTAAGCAAACAAAATAAAATGCCACTATATCAAACATACTTCTGGGTTACTAACCATTTTCAAATGTGACTAGAAGAATGAAGAAGGGCAAACGGTATCTGGGGCATTCAGAGGACATGTACGGCAATAACAGTTGCAGCAGCCACTGCGTTGTTTTAAGTAAGTAATAAGCATAAACAACAAACTTTCTGGAAAAGGAGAGGTTGAGATTGCAGATTCTCTTCTCCCCCTACCCAAAGTGTCCCAGAGACTCTCCTGCCTACCTTTGATGAACTCTGGCCTGTACGTCTTGCGCAGCTGCTCCAGGAAGCTGTTGTAGAAGCTCTCTGCCTGCTCCGTAGGCATTGCCAGGTGGAAGTCAGGCTTGTTGCCCTTAAGGACACACTGGAGCGTGAACTGGCTGACACACAGCACTTCATACTGTTTGTCCATCACACTCTTCGACCAGTGTTTCCCACTCTCATCCTCAAACACACGTAAGTTTAAAATCTTTCGGACCCTAAGGAGAAAAATAGCAGTAAAATCCACCTGCAGAGTCGCATCACAAGTCACCCAACACACTCCATACCCCCAAAACGTCACCAGCATTCTGCCAAATAAGAATATATGCTGATTCCATCACTTACAGGAAGTGTAACCTTAGGCAAGTTACTTTTCCACTCTATGCCTCAGTTTCCTCATCTGTAATAATATGTAATCATGGTCTACCTCATAGGGTTGTTTGGGAATTTTTTTTTTTTTTTTTTTTGCCAGTCCCTCCAATTCACAACAGCTCCCAGTGGGAAGTGGAGCCAAGATAACAACCACCCATTATCTGCTCCTTCAAGTTGGGGAATAAATCAAAACATGGGTCCAATTCTAATTTTTTAT